CTGAAAAATTATATATATATATATATATATATATATATATATATATGCCCAAAAGAGTGGAAATTAATTGTGCTCTTTTATTCACTGGAATTAAATAAAATCTTATCTTCCTTTCTCCATTGAATCTTATCCTCCTTTCTCCCATGAAATCAAGATCTTACAGGCATACTTTTGTTTTGTTTTAATATTCTGTATTCTGTTGTTGAGAATATACACAGCAAAACATACACCAATTCAACAGTTTCTACATGTACCATTTAGTGACCTTGATTACATTCCTTTGATTGTGCAAGCATTCTTACCCTCCTTTTCTGAGTTGGTCCTCTCCCAATAATATAAATTCACTGCCCCCTAAGGTTCCTATCCAATCTTTCCAGTTGCTTATAGGCATTCTTTTGCTTATAATACTAACTAATGAAATTCTACCATCTGAAAATCCATGCCTTCATGTAACATAAAAGGATATCAAGAATGAGATGAAGGAAATTTCCCTCTACCTTACAGTAATAGATGAAGAGATAAGGTTCTGTTTCATAAAACTAGTTAAAGAATCCACTTTGATGAAGTATTAAGAACATTCATAAGAACATCAATCTTGTTTTCCTGTGAAATATGAAAACTTGTGAATATTTAGAATCTAGCATTTTGCTCTCTTCTCTGTTGATATAAATATGTAAATCAGTACAATTTGAACAAAAGAATCTTGTAAAACTCTTAAGACATTATTCAAAATTGTTACTATGTACTGTGAAGATAACTTTCAAAGAGAAGTCTGTAATTTTGATTTGTTGTTTTCCTTGATACTTGTTGCCCTGGCAATAATGTAATTTACATGTTTAAATTCCTAAATAACCTAAATAATTGTAACTTTGCTCTGTCAAATCAAAACAGAATCATTGGTTCATTTCCTTTCTCCTGCATGTATAATCTCGGAAGGAAGGTTGGGCAATCCTACTTCCGTAGTGATACTGCTTCGGAAATCCAAGGAGGGGTCGCTATGAGTCGGGGCCGACTTGACAGCGAATAACAACAACAACAACAATATGTATAATGGAAAAAACAAATTCCTATTACACTGATCGATTTCTTGTTTTAACAAAGATTGAGAGCCTTGTCTCTAAATTGCCAAGGGAGATTGCTTTTTTTTTTCCTGTGGAAATTTAATATCAAATATCTGTGCCTTTAGGAATTCATGAAATTGTTATGCTCAGGTTATTTAACAGTGTTTCTCTTTTTCCATATAGACTGTCCTTCGTCCACCTGGGTTCACTTTCAAGACAGTTGTTACATTTTTCTTCAAGAAGCCGTCAAAGTAGAGAGCATAGAAGATGTCAGAAATCAGTGTACTGACCATGGTAGGAGACTTACTCTTTTTTTGCTTCCTTATTTGCTTTGCAAATTAGTAAATACTGTTCATCAATTTCTTTCTTTTTTTTTTTTTTTTCCCTGTGGCAGTGCCTTCATATCTTTTTTTTTTTTTTAACTTTATTTTGATTTGGGTGAAGATTTACAGAGTAAATTCACTTTTCATACAGCAGTTCACATATACTTTGTCTCATGTCATTGACCAAAATTT